ACCAACATCATCATCATAAAATTTAGCAACTCTAAAACAGACCTGATCTTTTTCCTTCAATGATGATCTTAATTCTCCYAGTTTATTGTCTGTATGAACTAAAAATTCCTGCAAATAAAACAGACAACGTTATTTTAATGGGTGTCATAGATTCCTGACCAAAAGTTAACTGTTTCAACATGTAAATTTGCACTTACTTTGACTGCTTCAAATTTGCATATTTTTAGATGAATTGACACTTGTTCATGGTTGTCCTCGTACATACAGCTGCAAATTTCAATAAATAAACCAAGTTCAAAATTTCSAAGTTACGACTGAGATTCTTGATCACAGGTCCTAACAGTGAAATTGGGCAATAGATTACCGTTAATCAAACAAACTATTGAAAGAGTACTGTATGTATGTACCTTCAATTTTATTACTAATTTATTTGATTGACAGTGGTCTGTTGCCCAAATTCCCTCTCACGGCTGTTAGACTGTTGTCTTGATCAGTACTTACGCATCAAAACAGCCATACATAAAGGATTGTAAGACTACTACATGTAATAATTACTATTTACATGAGGTGTATTCTTACCCGTATTTTTGATGTGGGCAGCGGATGTGCTCACAATGCTTCAAATGATCCTGAAGATCCTATAAAATAAACATTCACTAACAGTAAGAGAGCTTTACAGAATATTAGAAAAATTGATTATCTAATTCACCAAATAATATCTTATTAACTATTACCATCTTAAGCAGCATTGGACATTGTTTGCTGTTGGGACASGTTGTTGGAGCATATTGACAATTCTTTTCATGTTCACTGTTGATTTAAAAAGAAAATACATCATGATTAGAGACTTGCACATGACTAGTATTGATCTTACTATTCTCTTACTAGTATATAATTATTATCTTACTAGAGTGCTCGCACTAAAGCTGTGAAACAAATACTAATTTTTAGTACTAAATAGTGATAATCAATCAATAGGAAACAAAGGATTCTGTATGAATTACTACTAATTAGTACTAAATATTGTTCACCGGTTTAGTGGATGCACTCTAGTATTCAGGACCCCATTTTAACAGGTACAAAGTCTTGTTTAGAATGCTGCAACATCAATGCCTGTTTTAAAAGCCATTCGCGTGTGCCATTCTCTTTCATTCCAGGTTGTGATGTTAAATCAGTCTTARTAATGCCTAAAGTAGGATTTGTAGTACATATAATTGCTTAATACTTTGCTTATACTGAAATAATTTACAATTATACTGTTAACAGTGTAGTTTCTTACTGTCTGTGATAAAGCTTTGTTGTCATAGGACATCCTGACGGGTTCACTTCATACTCATGCTTCATGCCTCCATTATTTGCAAGCCGACATCCATATTTACAATGTATGAAGAGTTCTCCTACCTGTTCCGAAACCTAATAAATAACATTAAATAAATAAWTTTTWAAAATAGTTGTCTCAATTGYTTCACAAAATAAGGAGATACACTC